TCCCCAGTCCCAGTTGTGCCCACGTCCCCAACCCTGGGGGTCCCCGTGTCCCCAGTCCCAGTTGTGCCCATGTCCCCAACCCTGGGGGTCCCCGTGTCCCCAGTCCCAGTTGTGCCCACGTCCCCAACCCTGGGGGACCCCGTGTCCCCGATCCTACAGATGTTCCATGTCTCTATAAGTGTCCCCATGAATCTCCATGGCCCCCCATGTCCCCAACCCTTCTTGTCCCCATCCCCGAGGGTCCCTAATCCCACAGGTGTCCCCGTGAACCCAGGAGGTCCCCATGAACCCTGAGGGTCCCCATGTCCCCAGTCCTACAGGTCCCCATGTCTCCAACCATGGGGACCTCCATGTCCCCCCTCCTAGTGGCATCCATGTCCCCAGTCTTGGGGGTCCCCATGTCCCAGTGGTCCCCACGTCTCCAATCCCAGTGGTGTCCATATCCCCAGTCCTGCAGGTCCCCATGTCCCCATCCCCGAGGGTCCCTAATCCCACAGGTGTCCCCATGAACCCTGGGGGTCCCCATGAACCCTGGGGGTCCCCATGTCCCCAGTCCTTCAGGTCCCCAATGTCTCCAACCATGAGGAGCCCCATGTCCCCAATTCCAGTGACCCCCACCCATGGGTGTCCCCACATCCCCAACCCCATGTCACCCATATCCCCAACCCACGGTTGCGACGTCCCCATGCCACAAATGCCACCACACGATGTCCCCACCCCCCCCCGTGCCCCCAGGTGGTGAATGAGGGTCCCAGTGCCATCAGCCATGGCACCCTGGAGCTCAGCTGCCCCCTGATGCTCGGTGATCACCCCGTGCTTTACATCGTCGGCCATTCGGGGCCACGGAACTGCAGTGCCAGCCACAGCCTGGACAGACTGCAGTTGGCGGTGAGGCCGTGGGGATGGGAGTGGGGCACGGGGTGGCAATGAGAGATGGGCACTGAGTGGCACTGGGTGGCACTGGGTGGCAGTGAGAGATGGGCACTGGGTGGCTCTGGGTGGCACTGGGGACATTGGGTGGCAATGGGTAGCAGTGAGAGATGGGCACTGGGTGGCACTGGGGGCACTGGGGACACTGGGTGGCACTGGGTGGCACTGGGTGGCAGTGAGAGATGGGCACTGGGTGGCACTGGGGGCACTGGGTGGCACTGGGTGGCAGTGAGAGATGGGCACTGAGTGGCTCTGAGTGGCACTGGGGACATTGGATGGCACTGGGTGGCAGTGAGAGATGGGCACTTGTGTGGCACTGGGTGGCACTGGGGACATTGGGTGGCACTGGGTGGCAGTGAGAGATGGGCACTGGGATTACTGGGGACACTGGGTGACATTGGGTGGCAATGAGACATGATTGCTGGGGGCACTGGGAGGCACTGGGCAACAATGAGAGATGGGCACGGGGGACATTGGGTGGCACTGGGGGTTGGGTACTGGGATTACTGGGGAGTCTGAGTGACACTGGATGGCACTGGGTGACAGTGGGTGGCAGTGAGAGATGGGCACTGGATGGCACTGGGGGCACTGAGGGACACTGGGTGGCACTGGGTGGCACTGGGTGGCAGTGAGAGATGGGCAGTGAGTGGCTTTGGGTGGCACTGGGGTCACTGGGGACACTGGGTGGCACTGGGTGGCAGTGAGAGATGGGCACTGGGTGGCACTGGGTGGCAGTGAGAGATGGGCTCTGGGTGGCTCTGGGTGGCACTGGGGACATTGGGTGGCAATGGGTAGCAGTGAGAGATGGGCACTGGGTGGCACTGGGGACATTGGGTGGCACTGGGTGGCAGTGAGAGATGGCCACTGAGGGGCTCTGAGTGGCACTGGGGGCACTGGGGACATTGGGTGGCACTGGGTAGCAGTGAGAGATGGGCACTGGGTGGCGCTGGGTGGCACTGGGGACATTGGGTGGCAATGGGTGGCAGTGAGAGATGGGCACTTGTGTGGCACTGGGTGGCAGTGAGAGATGGGCACTGGGATTACTGGGGACACTGGGTGACATTGGGTGGCAATGAGACATGAGTGCTGGGGGCACTGGGCAACAATGAGAGATGGGCACAGGGGACATTGGGTGTCACTGGGTGGCACTGGGGGGTTGGGTACTGGGATTACTGGGGAGTCTGAGTGACACTGGATGGCACTGGGTGACAGTGGGTAGCAGTGAGAGATGGGCACTGGGTGGCACTGGGTGGCACTGTGGACATGGGGTGTGAGTGGGGGACGAGGAGCATCACGGGAGGGGACAGAGGTGTCACCTGGAGGTGGTGAGGATGGCACTGGGGGGGGGGGACGGGGGCACAGCACGGTCCCCAACCTGACCCCATCCCATAGGAACAGGAGCAGAGCCAGCACAGCCACGCACTGCAGCGCCGGGACACGCGGGGGGGGGTTGGTCCTCCCGGCCCCCCCAGCACTCTGGTGAGTGCCCCCATCCCCACGTCCCCATCGTGGGGCACGTGCCATCGCCTCGTGGGTGCCGTCCCTGGGTGCCACCCATGGGTGCCGTCACCGGTGACACCGTGGGGGGGGGTCCGCAGGGCTGCCCCGAGGCGGAGTGCTTCAGGCTGAGCTGCCCCATGGGGGGGTTGGAGAAGCAGCAGAGGGCGATTCTGCACCTCAGCGCCCGACTGTGGGCACGATCCTTCCTGCAGGTCAGCTGGGACCCCCCCACAAACCCCCCCCTGGATACCCCAAAACCCCCCCTGACCCCACCCCCCTCCCCTTGGGGACCCTCCCATCACCCCCTGGGACCCCCATCACCCCCTGGGACCCC